GAAATCTGCTTCAGTTGGATATTTAATTGAATCCACATAGTTGAACTTGTTGATTTACTACAAAAGGCAAACTGTGTACTTTCAGGGAAGGATCAAGCTTACCAAAAACCATTCTGCAAATGCAATTCGAGTCCGATCCTCCATTGCCAACAAATGTGCTTCCACCTCCATTTCAGTCGGAAGGAAATTTTTCTAAATATTTGCTACCTGTGAGAACAAAAAATAAGAAACAGTTAACATCAAAAAGAGGATTCAAAATGCCTGTATATGACCCAATAAGATCGTATTAAAGTAATCTTTTTCTGTTTATATAATAGGCAAAATTGTATCGATTTGAGGAGGTATATTCTTATTTGTATTTTATATAGGGTTTTAAGAATGATAAATTGCATTTTAACAATATGTGGTTTAGAATTGTAATCGAGAGCTTGTTAGTTTTTTAACAAATCCTAGATGGTATAGGATCTAGGACAACTTTGAGTTGACAAACAGCTACGCGATATAATATTCCAATTTATTCAAAATGTCTTTGAGTAGCATCTAGTTTTTATATTCCAAGTAAAATCACAGCGCTTTAGCAACTTATATATATTCAAGCATCTAACAGCTTCAGAAATTTCCTCACATATAGTGCAAGAAAATTTTTATACCATATCAATGATTTTCTTCTTGTCCCATGGCATTATCAACTAATTTTGTACTCTGACTCTACATATCAAGTCATTGACATTCAAAAAAACACTTTGAAGGCCATACTTAGGACAACAGTTTCTCGAGAACTTATTTAAGTTCAAACTTCAGAAACTGAGTGCTGCTCAGGGGTTACCATACACTAAAAGTGTGTCCAATGCTATCAAGAAACACAAACAATATCTCGAATACGTGATGCTGCTCAACAAATTCATCTCACGTAATAAACAAAGTTAGGCGGAAAGATATAAATTCCAAGAAATTAACTGTAAACTGGAAAATTAAAACCACCACTTACTTCAACGGATACATTAGAACAAACCCAAGCAGGTGGCGGCCAGAACATGTCGGAATAACCATCGTGACTATCAGTTGACCCAATACTCCCACTCTCCAAATCAAACACTCCGATACTGCGACTCTTCCACAGCCAATCATCCTGCCTGCCACTAAAGAACTCATGTGTAAAGAATAAGTGAAAATAAAAAAAACCTTAGACCTGGAAAAATAAGTGAAAATAAAAAAAAAAATTAACCTTGAAGAAAGGGAACGAAGCACGACCACCGCCATGGGGACGCAGCAACACCGGTAGATCAGNGTATTTAACAAGGTAGAAGAATGTGCTAAATAAATCTTCAACTTGCATTATGATCGAAAGAATGAAATAAGGTGAATGTAATGTATTATAGGGGTTTTCTCAATTAATATTCACAACAGGTACGTGTAAAACATATTCAATGTAGAAAAGGATGTTCAAATAGCCCATATAATGAACAGTTGGCAGAAAGGTACTGAAACAAAATCATTCCAAAAACTTTGGTTTGTAACAAGATACTAAACATAGAAATAGCAGTTTTCACATCTTCTTTGTTACGTCCCCCAGTCGTCCTTTCAAACATCCCAATACATCCCTAAGATTCTTCAGAAGTGTCCCTCTAATGAAGGCACCTCTCTCAATTTAGCCTATAAAGTATAGAAAGAATTTAAAAATTCATCTAGTCATCAATTCTCATTGAACGAAAAATGTGTTGGAGAGTTCAGTAGTTGAAATCTGTTGAAAATAATGTGGAAGAAATGGAATTTATCCTAATGCAAAGATGCAATCTGGAAAGGAGGATAAGGAAAGACCTTAATAAAAGATCAAAAGAAGGTTACCGACGTCTTTGCCGACAATCCGTTCAAATATTAAAAGATAACTTAAAGACAGAAGCTTCCACTTAGAAGATACATTTTCTGGAAAGTTAAAATCTACAAGAATAATGTAAAATGGAAAAAAAAAAGGCGTGCAAGGCTACAAAGTAGGAAGGCATGTTTCATATAACATCTAATCTTAAATAACAAGTGACTGAATATATTTAAACCCAAACCTAACTAATAGTCCACCAAATTAGTTGTAATGAAACTGCAGCAACATAGATTATAGCAACCGGTGACTTGATATGTATCACTCTATAATTACAAACTAATATTAGGATTTTCCCTAGAGCTTTATTAGCATATAAATAAAACATCAATAAACCTCTCAATAATAGAAACTTTCAATACTTTTCTGCACAACCTGGAAACATAAGAACCTTCGATGGTAGAAAAAACAAGTATAAGGAATGAAAGGATCGTGCTGCTTGAGACTTATCAAAGAAAAACAAAGTGCTTACCTGATCTCCGTGTGCTGAAACTAACTGAATTTTAATCATCTCTAGCTTGTAAAATGAAATTCCATTTCCGAGACTTTTATCCTTCTCCAATTCCTCTGCCCAAGTTGGGATATCTTGAGCTGGTTCCTTTTCATGTTTATGACCGTTGATCTGAACAATGCCTCCTGGCTTTTGTTCTTTGGCATTCTGATTTACATCGGCATTACTTGATTGTTGGACGGATATATTCTGGAAGATGGAGTGTTCTTCCATAAATGCAGGTCTTAGAAGGCCTTGTATAGCAAGACCAGTAGAAGGTTGTTCCATAAAATCTACGTGATCATCTGATACAACCCGAAAAAAAAAATAGATTTATTGATTGACGATGTAATAAGATTGGTAGGTAAACTCGAATTATTCTAAGTGGAAAGAGATATGCAATGATAATAAACAATATTAAATGTATAACGGGAGTATATGTTAGTTCAAAGATGAGCAAAAATAGTTTGGCAGCCATGGCAAGATAATCCATATTTCATTTTTTGGTTTACTTCTATACAATGTGCAAAAGAATCTGATATAGATAGTTACCTCGGTTACCTTTTTGGAAAAATACATAGGATGAGAAGATTGCATTGTCTCCAGTTTAGGCCAGTCCCCTAGTGATCCATCAGATTCCTCATCCTGGTCTTTGTCGTCATCAAGAATGGCAACCCAGTCCTGCAGATGAGCATATGATCAAAGTTCACATACTTTAGTGCTACAGTTCTGGCATTAAGAGGTACAAAAATTGAACAAAAAGATTCCACCTTTTCGTGATTATCATCCTCTTGACCACCATCGCTATCTTCATCATTGTCCTCATCATCAAAATCGCTATCATCATCATCCAGGTCGTCTATGCCAAAATAAATATCTGCATGACCTAATGCCTCCATCTCACTGATTATTTCTGTTGTATCTAGTCCAATAATGACTTGCTGCATTGTATTAAAAAAGTAAAGTAAGTCTCCAGAGATTATTAATTTTAGTAGGAAGAACCTATTAGTACCCAGAACTTTTTCCCTTTTTTCTCTTTTAATAATCCCCTTTCTCTTATTTTGTTTGTCTTAAACATTGAGCGAAGAGAGCAATGCAGAATCTTTTTTCCCTCTCCCATAATCCCTTTTTCTCGTGTAGACTGTAGATTTCAAGCTAGCACTATAAGTTCTTTCTGCGTGAAGACCAAATCAAGAATGACTTAAGATATCGAGCAGAATAACTTTACCATGTATTGATATATATGAGAAAACATACACCAGACTAAGCAATTGCCAGGCAATTAAGAGAAATGAAAATAATGTTTTCAGGTTTGCGTTGCTAACATTTCCAGTAAAATTATATATGAATCAATTCTCTTAGTCATGTATATTTTTAGCTCTTACCACGATGGTTTCCTCAGAAGTTAAAGCTTGCAAAACATCTTCATCATTCTTCACTTGAAAGTATACATCTGATAGAAATACAAAACCAGGTAAAACTTCAATAAATTACCACACATACAATGTTATTTAATTATGAAAAAGAACAATGAGAACACAATTGCAAACATCTTACGTCCATACTCATCAGTTACATAAGGTAAATCTGGCCAGAAAATGTTCTCGTGAATTTCGTCGCTCACAAAACCAGAAAACATCAACGTCGCTTTGCTATTCACCTAAGAATCAAAATTAATACAACATTAGCATTACATATTAAGCTGAGAAATTTTTACTGTAAAATCAAATAAAAATCACATCTTTTTCTTCAGTGTTACCTCAATTACTTGAGCCGGATCCGAAGGGAAAAACTGTGGAGCCATTGAAGAATTTGTATGTTCTTCCAGGGTACCTTAATTGAAAGGGTTTGAAGAGGGGTACCGTGCCTATGAACTGCAATTGGTTGATTCGAAGGAAATTGATGAGGACCCATAGGTGCATCTTGTTCCCCATGACGTGTCGAAGCCAAGAGTGGTGGCCCGCGACCATCGTTTGAATCGCCGGCGTCGGAATTTGGGTGTTGCAATTTTGGCCGGAATTGGAGATATGGCCGTGCATGGAGATGAATTTCATAGAAGACCGAGGATTGGAGGGTTTAATAGAAGAGGGAAAAAAGGAGAAGGTTTAATTGGGATTGAACACTCTGTACTCTACGGAGTTGCTCTCCGTAGCACTGCGGAGCAATTTGCTCCGCACTCTACGGAGTTGCTCTCCAAACATTGCGGAGCATTTGCTCCGTAGAGTCCGCTCCGTTTGCTCCGGACTCTACGGAGCTGCTCTCAAGGAGAGTAAATTTTTTTTTTAAACTGTTTTTTATTTGTTTTCGCTTGCCTTTCCCAGTCAACCCAGTCAATAATTGTGGGTAAGTAAAAATTCTACATTATCCTTTTGTTTTGATAAAATGATGATGAAAATTGTTTCACAAATGAACATAAATAATGGGATCAAAATGGGGAAAAATATTAATTACTGAGGATAAAATGGGATGGAAAAATGCTTCAAAATGAACAGTATACTGTGGATAAAAATTAAAAACAAAACATAAATAAAAATCAAGTGAAATAATGAGCAGTCAAACATTATTTGTCAACGGGAAAAAAAGGAAATTCATATACAAGCAGGTGTTTTGACGGATTGGCTCTTTTTTTTTTTATTGCGCAAATAAACCGTAAAATAGTAGGATAGTCAACAATTGTGGCATTGCCAGAGAAATTTTTTATTGGTAAGATGATAAGAGATA